CCCCCGCACCTCCCCAAACCCCACCCCCTACCCCCAAATATAATCCACTCTGCAAACTATAGTTCTTCTTTTCAGCCTGCAAAACTATTTGCTTAGCCTCTGAATTCTCTGTTTCTTGTCTTTAGTCATGTAGAGTAGTTTCCTCTGTTTACCCGAAGAGGAAATGCATCTATCCTAGATGCTGGTGAAGCTGGTTCTCCAGTCACATGTATAAACTGTATCTTAATCTGCCTGTTTACCAGGAAGAGAACTGGGGTCTTTCTGAATTACTGATACAAAGATGGGAACTGTCCGTTACAGATGTAGAAATTACCTTTTATACTAACAAAAGTGCATTGTTAAATGAGCTGAAGTTTCACCCTAGTTTATAAGCCCATGACCACTCCCAGATGGGGAGGCAGTCTTTGAGGCCGGGACCCACTGTCCTCCACAGATCTGTAATAAAGTGCATTTATGGATTAAAAAAACAAAACAAAACCGTATTTGCCATGAATAAGTCATTGTGCAAAATTCAATCATTCTATCTCCAGCTTCATTTCTGTCACCAAGTCCATGTTTTCCAACTACTGATTCTTCTTCCCTGTTCCCAACTTTTGCGTTGCAGTCGCCCATTATTATCAATTGCAATCTTGATTGCATATTCCATGTATCTCTGCCTGTAAGAGTTGGTAGAAATCATCTATTTCTTCTTCTTTGGCTACGGTTGTTGGTGTATATATCTGGATGATAATAGTGTTCACTGGACTTCCTTGTAAGTGTATGGATATAATCCTATCGCTCACAATGTTGTACTTCAAGACGGACTTAGAAATTTCTTTTTTGACTATGAAAGCAACTCCATTTTTCCTCACCTTTTCATCTCCAGAATAATATATCATATGATCACCTGACTCGAAATGCCCCATGCCAGTCCATCTCATCTCTCCAATTCCTACTATGTCAATATTTATGCGTTCCAATTCTTTCTTAACAATTTCTAATTTTCCTACATTCATGGTTCTCACATTCCATGTTCCAATTACTAGTGTCTGCTTACAACTGTTCCTCTTCCTTTGTATTTCCATGCTTAACAGTTCTATCTAGGTTGCCCTTTCTGTTCGTCTACGTGTGTTGTGTTGTACATAGGATTTTTAGAGGCCTGCCATTTCAGAAGTGGATGGCCAATCCTTCTTCCTAGTCTGTCTTGATCTAAATGTTTAGACTTAGAGGAGTATCTGACAGACAGCAATTTGTGGAGTAGTGAAAGACAAATCCCTCATTTTGGAGTTGACCATTAGTTACAGTGTAGTCCCTGCCCTTAGCCCAATGCCTTGACCCACTTATTTCCCAGCTTCACCCTCCAGCAGGATACCACTTCACTTCTACTAAATGCCTTCAGAATTAATGTCCCATTGTCCGACTCATGACTTGACAGCTTGTCAGAGAGATTTTTTTTCCTGTGTCCAGTGTCTCTTAAGTTTATTTGTACTGTCTCTGAAGGGAAGGTGATGTGTCCTGTAGAATCTGACAGAGTGTGGAAATTATCAAAAAGTGAATGCTCAGGAAACGGCAGACTTGAGAGCTGCTTTATACAGAGTCGATATGGATTGCAAGTGACTCGATGGCACTTAACAACAAACACATCATTAATATCACACACAAGTAAAATCCTGCTGAAGATTATCCAAAAATTACTGAAACAATATGTTGACAGAGAACTACCAGGAAGATAAGCAAGATTTAGAAGAGGCCATGGCACTAAAGAAATCCTTGCTAATGTCAGATGGGTCTTGGCTGACAGAAGAGAACGTTAGAGTGTCTGTCTGTGTTTCATTAACTATGCAAAAGCATTGGACTGTGTGGATCACAACAAATTGTGGCTAACGTAGAAAAGAATGGGAATTCCAGAACACCTGAAACATGTGAAACCTATACTTGGACCAGGAAGCTGTTCTCAGACAAAACAAAGTAACAGTGCATGGTTCAAAATTGGGAAAGGATTGTGTACTGTCTCTATACCTTTTCAATGTATATGCAGAACAGATCATATGGGAGGCCGGGCATTGTGAGGCATCAGGTTTGGAGGAAGACTCATCAACAATCTGCATTATGCAAATGACATAACCTTGCTTGCTGAAATTAAGGAGGACTTGAAATGTGTGCTGTAGAAGGCCAAGGACTGTAGTCTTCAATATGGATTGAAGCTCGACATCAAGAAAATAAAACTTCTCACCACTGGGCCAATTGGCATCACCTTGATAGATGGAGAAGAGGTTAAGGTTGTTAACAATTTCAGCTTGCTCTGTCCCACAATAAACCCTCTTGGAACCAGGAGTCAAGAGATTTTTAAAAAAACCCAAAAATTAATGCATTGGGAAAATCTGTTGTCAATGACCACTCCATTGTGCTCAAAAGCAACTATGTCAGTCTAGAGATTAAGGTGCACCTGATTCAGGCCATGGTTTTCACAATTACTTGCTACGCATAAGAGAACTGGACAGTGACCAAGAACAACAGAAGATGAATTCATACCTTTGTGCTGTGATGCTAGAAAAGAGTATTGAACTTGGACTGTCAAGGGAACAAACAGGTCTGTCCTGGATAGAGTGAAACTAAGCTGCTCCTTGAAGGCAAGAATTTTTAATTCCCTCTCACATACTTTAGGTATGTGAGGGAAAATGAACAGTCCTTGGAGAAAGATATGCATGGAAAGATGGAGGGACAGCACAGGAGACGAAGACCCTGGATGAGATGGATTGATATCATAACAGGGGCAGTGATGGGTAGGTATTTCTGAGACAGTGAGACTGGCTCATGATATGGCAGATTTTAGAACTATTATACATAGAATAGCTATGAGTCACAAATTATTTGATGGCACATAACAATAACAACAGTGTTTCCTTGCTCTCTTCTGAGGGCTGCTCCTGGTCCAAGTATAGGTTGTCCATGAGCACAATTAAGTATTCTAAGACTCCCATTACTCAAGGTTAGCCACAATTTATTGTAATCCACACAGTCAAATGACTCTTTCATGGTCATCCTCTCCTGGGCTTTCCCTCCACCCTTCCAACCGTGATGTCCTTCTCCCAGGACTAGCCATTCTGGCCGCATACTCAAAGTATATAACTTGTTGCTGTTGTTGTTAGGTGCCTTTGAGTCAAGCACTTCTCATAATGACCCTATGAACAAAAGATCTGAACCCTATTCTATCCTCTACCATCCTCATACTTGTTGACATGCAAGAGCTCATTCCAGCAGTTACCTTATCAATCCACCTTGTTGACGAGGGTCATTATCTCCTTTGTGGATCTTCCTCCCTTCCCAACATCATGTCCTTCTCCAAGGAATAGCACCTCCTATCAACATGTCCAAAGTACGTTAGGCGAAGCCTCATCATTCTTGCCTCCAAAGAGCATTCTGGCTGCACCTTCTCTAAGACATATCTGTTCATTCTCTTGGCTCTCCATGAGATATTCCGTGCTCAAAGTCATCAATTCTTTTTCTGCCATCTTTAGATGCTCTTGGATGCATAGCTAGTAATTGGAAAGACTAGTGCTTGAATCAGACACACCATAAATCTTCAAATTGGCATCACTATTCCTCAATAATTTGGAGAGGTCCCTAACTGCAGATTCTCCCAGTGCAATGGGTCTTCTTATTTTCTGACTGCTGATACCAAGAGTGTTAACTGTGGATCCAAGCAAGATGAAGCTGCTGATAGTTTCAATCTCCTCTCTGTCCATCATGAGGCTGCCTATCAGTCCAGTGGTAAGAAGTAGACCCAGGGGAAAAGTGATGGCTAGATATTGGTAGAGTTCTAAGAAATGGTAGGTCCACAGATATTGAAAGGAGACAAAGATCTTCCATCATGGCTGACAGAGAGAGGAATCCTTTTGCTAGAGTTGGCACTTTGAATTAAGAATTTCTAGCCTCCTAAACCGCAAGAAAATAAATTTTATAAAGCCATTGGCTTGTGGTTTTCCTGTCATAGCAGCACTAAGACACCAACACGGAGAGTATCAAATCACCCTTATTTATTCTCTTTTGTTTTTCAGCAATGAGCTCATCAACAGGAAAACTAACTGTCCAAGCATGTAAGTTGAGTGAGCTTACATAAATAAATTAAAATTACACATCAGAAACAACATCTTTAACTATTACAGCTTTCTACCCATGTTCCTCATTTTTGGAGCTAGAGAATAGGAATTGAATGGTAAATGTAAACTTGTATTCCCTAATAAAAACACTATTTTTATTCCTAACTCTAAGACCAGGTGTTTTTATTTTTCCTTTTTTTCACAAAAAATATTTTACCCAGTTAAAGTTTTTAGGCTATTTGAAGAAACTATTTCTGATTTGGCATAAACAGGCTTACTTTTCTAGTTTTCCTAAATTCTGTTAAATGTATTTTTCTGAGAAATGAAATGAGAAAATGATGGATCCCATTATCTGTAACTGATCTGTATCACCTGTTTAATATACTAACTACATAGTACAACGATTTCACTTGCTTTGTATCATCATGGACTGAAAGATATTTTTTAAATTTGTTTTATTTTGGTTTGATTTTATATTGGTTTGCTTACAAATTTCATATCCATCATTTTCATTCATATAAGCTGTATTTCACATATTCTTTCATTCACATTCTGTTTCATATAATCATTCTCATATGTTGTGTTTCATAAAACTAATCATCATTGTTCTATGCCTATTATTACCTCCTCTTGTCAGATGCCCAATGGATCTTTCCTGATTCTTTCACCTCTGCCCTCAGCCCACCAAACTGCAACCCCATGATGTCCCTCCCTTTCCACCCAGAGTATGCCTATACCACTCCCCTTTCCCTTTGGACTTTTATACACTTCTTACTTCTATTTTTACAATAATAGTCTTTTACAGTCCTAATGTCCATCAATAAATGAATGGATTGAAAGATTAGGATACATTCACACAATGGGACCCTCAGAAGGAATGATTTTGAAAAAACTAGGTAACATGGGAAAAGACTGGAAAGCATTATGCTGAGTGATTTCAGTCTCATCTAAGCAAATACTGATTAAGACCATGAACTGAATTTTGAAAGATATTTACCTAATAAGCCATGAATTTGAATAAAAATTTTTGTCCATTTGACATTATATCTTGCAAATTTAGGAAGCATTTGCATTCATTTATTCAACAATTCTTCTAAGTCCCCAAAAGTGTGTCAGAAGCTGACAACACTATTATAAATAAGACATACTCTCTATGCTCAAACAGGGTAGAGGCCAGTGATAGAGGAGATAGATAATAAATTTGGAAATGTTAAACAATTTAATAAAGGTTATGACAGACTAGGTGTTGTGCTGAGATATTAAATTCAAGAGGCAGATGATGTGGCCTTGTGGGCTTAGAAAGTGATCCTTGAAACAGGATAGAGGAGACGGCATGAGTTAAGTAAAAGGTGAAGTACTGTGAACAGGGGGAATAATATTTAAAAATATCTCCAAGTAATCAAGAACACAGATTTTTGTTCTATGTTCTGGAACATAAAATGGGGCTTGACAATATAAAGGAAGGGCATAATTAATAATCATCAAGGTCTGTAATCACGCTGAAATAATCTTACTCTATTTAGAGGCCAATAAATAGTCATTGAAAGAGTTTATGCATTCAAGAAAGATCATTCTTTTTAAAAAAAAATAGATCATATAGACTACAGTATAGAGATTGGATTAAAAGGGCAAAGAGACAGGTAGAGAAAACAATGGTCTAGAGTAGAGTAATTATAGAGAAATAGAGATTTCTGAAAAGGTCAGTTTTAGTTTGAATGTAAAATAACTTTTCCTGTACTTAATTAATTGTGACAAGAATAGAATATTTTCATTATTGTCATCATATTTAAAATATGCTTGCTTTTTTAGTAGGAATCCTTTGATCTGATGAACATGATATACGATCTGGTTTATATCTGACAAATGTGAAGATGAAGTTTATAGGAAATAATGGATCACAAAATGTTTCATGACCCGTCTGACACATTTACTCTCTACACTTTAGGAACAAAATCTATCTGAATAATAGATGGGGAGCTAAGTTTCAACAAAGGAACAATTCTTTGTCTGACATGGGGAAACTGGAGAAGTGATAACTCCATGTCCTGATAGCATTTCTGGATCACAAAAAGATAGTGAAATAATATTCTTAATATGAGCTCCCATAATATGTACATAATTGCTACTGAAAATACATAGAAATTATTTTATACCCTTTACAATTTAACAAAGTTTAGGTAAGGAACATATATCCATATCTATAAGTATAGAGGTAAGCAAAATATCTTCATATCAGGAATCATAGAGGAAAACTATTGATAGAGTATATGCTTTCATAATGACAGCTATAAATCTGACTATATTGCAGTATTTCATTACATTCTCTCTATCACACAAAGTCCAGGGAATCATTTGTTTTATGATTTACTCCTCTCACTTTTTTCAGGTTGTGGAAAACGAGCTGTTCCTTTAATAGTTAACAGAATAATGTCTGAGGACATAGCAGCTAAGTCAGCCTGGCCTTGGCAAGCTTCCCTTCAGCGTAACAACATACATCAGTGTGGTGCCAGCTTGATCAGTAGCACGTGGCTTGTTACAGCAGCACACTGTTTTAAAAGGTAAGTTATTAAAAGGTAAGTTATTCACCTTAGTTTGAACCCGTACTATTAAATATCAGAGTTGTTTTGGGTAACAATCAACTAAAAAATAAAAGAAAATCAGCAGATTATACTGCCATACTTATTCAGAAGTTTGGTAAAAGTATAGAGGGTAATAGTCATTATCCTAGTACTGATTAACTAAATCATCAATTTTCTTTTTTAAATTTTATACTAGTTTGTTTAAAAAGTTTGAATACATTGTTTTTCACACTGGATCTTTCCCATTTCCTTCACATACCCCTACTCACCAAATTGTGTGACCCTATGATTGACATCTTCCCCCTTGCCCATCCTCACCCCTCGGCTTTCATCATTTATCTACACCGCCTTGGATCTTCACACTCATTCTGCAACAATGGTTTTATACAGCATTGGTCCTTATGACACTGAATTAGTTCGCTCAGCATAATGTTCTCCAGTCTCTACCAAGTTAAACAGTAATTTACAAAATCATTGCTCCTTCATGCTGTGTAATCTTCCAACATGTGAATGTACCATAATTTCTCAATCCATTCCATTGTGGCTGGATATCTGGGCTGTTTCCATGTTCTAGTGATGGTAAATAAGGCTGCTATGAACATTGCTGTACATATATCCATTTGTGCCTCAGTTCTCATTTTCTCAGGTTGTACTTCAAGCAGTGGAATAGCTGGGTCATATGAAATTTCTGTGTTCAGCTTTTTGAGGAAGCACTAAACTGCCTTTTACATTTTACAACCCTCACCAAGAATGTATAAGAGCTCCTATCTTATTACATCCTCTCCAACATTTATTACTTGCTGCTCTGTTAAACTTTGCCACTGCTGCTGGAGTGAGATGATATTTCATTGTAGTTTTGATTTGCATCTCTCTTTTTGCCAGTGATTTTGAACATTTCTTCATGTGTCCGTTGGTCATTCTAATATTTTTCTCTGTGAAGAATTCTTTCCATGTCTTCTGCCCAATCTATAATTAGGTTATCAGTCTTTCTCCCTCTCTTTCTTTTTTTTTAATGAACATTTACAAAGATTTTGGATTTCCATTTATTCATTGTTCCATTTTTCTTCCTGCCCATCCCTCTCCCCGCCACCTGGTTTGTTCTTCTCTTTGAAAAGTGAAAGAAAAATTATTTCATTGATATACAATTCCCCTCTCCTTACCCCGAGTACACTTCACTATGCAACCTTCATTCTGGACTCTTGTCATAACCATAATACCCAATCATATATCCCTTGTAAACAGTTCTCTCCCTCATCTGTTTCAATGCAATATACATAATTTATCCAAACATTCTCAGTCTCACCTCAACCCTGATGTCAGTCCCATTCTACAACAGTGGCACTATGCAGTATTTGTCCTTTTGTGACTGAGATATTTCACTCAGAATAATGTCCTCCAGGGTCACCCATTTTGAATAATATTGCATGGGTTGCTTGTTTTTCAATGCAGCGTAGTATTCCATTTTATGAATATACCCCAGCTTCTCTATCAGTTCGTTTGTTGATGGGCACTTAGGTTGTTTCCAACTCTACTGTTGTGAACAAAGTCGCAATAAACATGGGTATGCATCAGTCTTTTTCTTGTGGAGGCCTAGGAGTATTCTGTAAACATTCTTTATGAGACTCTTGTTTGAGACAGTATTGCCAAATGTTTGTTCCCAGTCAATAGGTTTTCTTTTCACTCAGTTGGAAATAGATTGTGATGCACACAGGGATTTAACCTTTAGGTCTCATTCACCAATTTTATCCTCTTCAAATATGCATTTCTGGCTGTATTTGGCAATCTCTTTATACCAGAGACTAGGCCTTCTAAACTTGAACCAAATTTCTCTCTTATGAACATTATCTTTTTGGGCTTTACTCCTAGGTATCTGATCCACCTTGAGTTTATTTTTGTGTATGGTGTGAGATGAGGAACCTATTTCAGCTTTCTGCATGTAGCAGCCAAGTTTTGCCAGCACCATTTATTGAAGAGGTTGCCATTTCCCCATTTGATAAGTTTATTTCCTTGTCAAATATAAGTTGACCATAGATTGTTGCTGTTGTTATGTGCTGTCGAGTCGCCTGCGACTCAGAGCAACCCTACGTACAACAACCCTAAACTCTGCCCTATCCTGTGCCAATATCACCATTTCCAGCACACCTACCTCCATACTCTAGTCACTGAATCAATCCATCTCATGGAGGGTTTTCCTCTTCTGCGCTGTTCCTCTACCCTCTCAAGCATGACGTCTCTCTCCAAGGACTGGTCCCTCCTTGCAGCATGTCCAAATTATGTCAGACAAAGCTTCAGAATACTCCAAGGAACAGCCTGGCTTCACCCTCTCCAGGACAAACCTGTCTTTTTTCCTAACTGCCCATGGTATATTCAATACTCTTCTCCAACACCAAAGCCCAAAGACATCAACTCTTCTTCTGTCATTCCTAGTCATTGTCCAGCTCTCTGATGCATAGCAAGTGATTGCAAAGACCATGGCATGTATCAGCGCACCTTATTCTCCAGACTGACATCTTGCACTTCAGCACTTTAGAGAGGTCTCTAATCACAGACTTTCCCATCGCAATACATCTTTTAATTTCTTGGCTACTGGTGCCAAGAGTGTTGACTGTGGAGCCAAGCAAACCAAAACTGTGA